AGAAAAATCATTATCAATAAGCTTTCGTTTAGAGAATACTTTTAATCGATAAGTTTCCTTTATAGTAAAGTTATAATCGATCAGTTTTCTCTTTAGGAAAGGTTATCGAATAGGTTTTTATATAGAAAATTAAGTAGCAATAAACTTTTGTTTATAGAAAACTTGTAGTCGATTAGGTTTCTTCATAGAAACCATGTTACGGGCAAATTTTCTTTATGTAAACCGTTGTATCGACAAGTTTTCTTTACAGAAAATTTGCTATCAATATGTTTTCTTTATGTACAATTAGTTATCGATACATTTTTTTTTTGTACTTCGATACGTTGTCAAGTATGTTGGTGGGAGAACATATGATGTTCATTCACCAGGACCGGTTATGGGTTACTTGAAGTATAAGTACTCATTTATTTACATTTTCCGATACATTTTCATTATAGAAAATATGATATCGATAAATTTGCTCTGTAAACCGTTTTATCGACAAGTTTTCCTCGCAGAAAATGTGTTATCGATATATTTTCTTTATAGAAAATTTGTTATCGATACATTTTCGTTATAGAAAATTTGCTATCGATACATTTTTAGGAAAATTTGTTATCGATACATTTTCGTTATAGAAAATTTGTTATCGATACATTTTCGTTATAGAAAATTTGCTATCGATACATTTTCTTTATATAAAATTCTGTTATCGATACATTTTCTTTATAGAAAATTTTCTATCGATAACTTTTCTGTATAGAAAATTTGTTATCGATAGGATTTCTTGATAAAAACCGTAATATTGATAAATTTTCTTTATAAAAATCGTGTTATCGATAATATTTATATAACCATAATTCATTTATATAAACCATGTTATCGATTATTTTTCCTTTTATAAACCAAGTTATCGATGTATTTGCTTAATATAAATCGTCTTATTTCTTTATATAAATCGTGTTATCGATAAAATTTCTGTATAGATATTTTGTTATAGACAAATTTTCTTTATTTAAATTATGTTGCCGATGCGGTTTCTATATAGAACACTTGTTATCGATAAATGGTCTTTATATAAACCATGTTAACGATAATTTTTCTTTATATAAACCATGATATCGATATATCAATATTATAGAAACGGTGTTATCCAAAATTTTCTTCATAAACTGTATTGTCGACAAAATTTTGTCATGTAAACTATAGTATCGATCAAATTTTTATCGATTATTTTTATTGTATAGAGAACTTGTTATTGATAGGGTTTCCTGATAAAAACCGTGTAATCGATAAATTATCTTCATACAAACCGTGTTATCGATTCATTTTATTTATATAAAGCGTGTTATAGATGCATTTTTTTATAATAACGCTGTTATCGACCAGTTGCTTCATAGAAATCTATGTTATAAGTTTTTCTGATGAAAAATGTATTATCGATGAGTATTCCAGATGGAAAACTTATTATCGATAAGTTTTCTGTATAGAGAACTTGTTATAAATGGGTTTACCTCTCCTTAAACACGATTTTGGGAAAGAATATAAGGTTTCAAATGCTATATAAGACCTCTTATATGCTTCAAAATAGCTTCAAGGGCTCTTAAACACTATATATTGTCTCTAATTAGAGGTCTTATATGCTTTAAAATGCCTACCATGAGATTATATGGAATCCAAATTTATCCGAATAGGTTTTATAATTAGTTTGTATCTTTAATTAGGTCTTAGAATCACTTCACTTGTTCACAATTAAGAATTGGCTTAATAAATTATATATTATTTTAACTAATAAATTAATTAAAATAATATAATAAATATATATAAAAAAATATATTCTAAATATTCTATATTTAATTTTTTTATTTTATTCTATTCAAATTTTCCATTAAATATTTAATTAAAATCACGTTCTATAATTCGAAGCAACGAAAAACCACTCTTTATACTCACAATACGTTACGTTACGTCAGTGAGTAACTGCAACCACAGAAGAGAATGTGTGTAGAACAACTGTTGTTCATGTAATGAACGGCATTACCACACACATACAATTGCATGTTGTTTAATGATAATGACCATTCACAATAGTTGCTTATATTTTATTCCCATTACAGTGAGAAATAAATATATTTTATTTAATCTTTTAATATATAACTACTCCTTACACTCACATTACGTTACTTCGTTGAGTAACTGTAATCACAAGAGAGCATGCCATCACAACAAAACAACCGTTATTCATGCCATGTCGTCACACGGCATTACGGCACGAGCACAATGACATGTTTGGCTTAATAAGAATGACCAATCACAATAGTTGCTTTTATTTTATTACCATTATAGTGAGAAATAAACACATTTTATTTAATATTTTAATATAAAACTACTTCTTGCTTACATTACGTTACGTCACTGAGTAACTGCAATCACAAGAGAGCACGCAATCACCGCCGTACACAACCGTTATTCATGTCAAGTTGCTATACGGCATTACCACACACTTGATTGCTTGGCTTAATTAAATAATGACCATTCACAATAGGTGTTTCTATACGACATTACCACACACTTGCTTGTTTTGGCTTGGCTCAATGAAATAATGACCATTCACAATAGGCGTTTGCATTTCATTCACATTACAATGAGAAATAAATGGATTTTATTTACTATTTTAATTAATTTAATATATATTTTTGCATTATAAACATATATATATATATATATATATTTAAATATTATTACTTATTAATTAAACATAAATATATAACATTTAAAGTAAAAAAAATGCAATTGTTTTTTTTTGTTTTGCGTTAAAATTAAGCGGGCGGGAAAAATGTTGGTTACATTTAATTTTTTTTTTCATAATTATTAAGTGTAGTTTTTTGTAATACTTTTTTATTTATTTTTTTTACGTTAATTTTAAAAGCTCATCATAACGGTAGTTTAGAGTTTGTTACTTTTTTTAATTTTCGTGGAGTAAATACATCAAAATATATTTTTTTTTATATGTGGAATAATTTTGTTTCGATTGTTTTATTTTTTTTTTACAAATTTTTAACAATTGTTATGAGGAGAAGCTTTCAAAATCTTCCTCTTTTAATACAATTTGTATTTTTATGCCCAAAAAATATTTGAATAGCTGTCCTTCGGGAAACCCTTTTTGTAAATTCCATGCCCTCCAAAAATATTTTTTTGTAAATAAATTTTGAAATCTTTGTTGTTGGATTTTGTTTAAGCATTTATATTTGTGTTTTCTTTTTTCAATATTATTTTTATTTTCAACATCTGCTTAACATTTATATAGACAAAGTTTTCTTTTAATATTATTTATTAATATTTTATTTTATTCATATATATATTTTAATTTTTTTTACTAAACAATTAGTAACAAATATAAGTTTCTATAGAATATTTTAAAATAGAATGGTATGGTAACAGCTGAGGAGGTGATAAAAAAGGTTTTGGAAATGATGTTGCGATAATGGTTGGGAAGTTCATTTGGGTTCATTTTGGGAAGAAATTGAAGAAAATTACGTCTTTTATTTCGTTTTGATTTACAATAAATTCACAATACAATAATTACAATTAAGTTTTTTATTATTTTTTTTAATATATATTTTTTAAATATTTTTTTTTTTATTTTTTTCCATAATCGATTTTTTTTAAGTAAAACTATTTTGTTCAGGCAATAATGAGGCGGCTTGGCTTTTCATTAATTTCTTTTTGTTGATTTTTTTATTGGGTAGCGTCCATAACATTTTTTTTTGGAGGGATCTGACAAAATTTTTTCTTCTTTCAATGGAATTGAGAAACCCCGATTATGGTGACCAGGCTAACAAAATCTACAACCTTTGAAAACTAATAAAAAATCTTAAATGTCATAAAAAATATTTTTTATCAAAAAATATACATATTTTTTATTAAAAAAATATTAAAAAAAAAATTATTTAAAAAAAACATTTTTTTATTAAAAAATTATTTTTTTATTAAAAAAAAATATATTTTTTGATAAAAAATATATTTTGTTGATAAAAAATATATTTTTTATTAAAAATATTTTTTAATTAAAAAATATATTTTTTGATAAAAAATATATTTTTTATTAAAAATATATTTTTGAAATAAAAAAATATTTTTTTTATTTTAAAAAATTATAAAAATTAAAAAAAAAATATTTTTTATTTAAAGAATATCTTTTTTAAAATATTTTTTTAAAAAAGATATTTTTTTATTTTAAAAAATTATTTTTTTTTATTTTAAAAAATTATTTTTTTTTATTTCAAAAAATTATTTTTTTTATTTTAAAAAATATTTTTTTATAAAAATATATTTTATTTAAAAAAATATTTTTTTATGTAAACAATTTTTTTTAATTAAAAAAATAATTTTTTTATTTTAAAAAAATATTTTTTTTTTTTTATAAAAAGGAAATTTTGAAAAAGTTCCCCTAAAAAAATATTTTTTATTTAAAGAATATTTTTTTTACGAAATATTTTTTTAAAAAAGATATTTTTTTATTTTAAAAAAATATTTTTTTTATTTTAACAAATATTTTTTATTTTAAAATATTTTTTTTATAAAAATATATTTTTATTTAAATAAATATTTTTTTATTTAAAACAAATATTTTAAAAAATATATTTTTTATAAAAAAAATATTTTTATTAAAAAAAATTATTTTTTTATAAAAAAGAAAATTTTGAAAAAAATTCCCTGAAAAAATATTTCAAAAAAAATTCTGTTTTCTTTTGTTTTTATTTTTTAATTAATTAATTAAACTAAAATCACTTAATAAAAAGGTAGTTAATGGTTAAAAAACATGATTGGTTTTGTTTGTTTTGCAATAAGAATTATTATTGTTGTTGTTTTTAAGAATTCTTGCTTGGCTTGTTCCTCTAAGTGCAGGTAAGTGTTCCTTACGAAGTTTTGTTTTTTCTTGCAATAAAAATAAATGTTTGTTGTTCTTTTTGTTGTTGCTGTTGTCAGTTTTTGTGTGAGTTTTTGTTGTTGTTGTTGGTTTAGGTGGTTTTGGTTTTTGTTAGACTGCTGCCATTTGTTTTACACGAACCATTTCCCATCGATGTCGTGGCGGTGGTTGTGGTGCTGCTGTTGGACACTTTGCCATTTGTGGTGGCATTTGAGAGATTGGAATCATTGACAGCAGCAGCAGCCGCTTCTGTTTCATTTGTTGTCAAAGATTTTTTGGAGCTGGATTTTGAAGGGAAGAAAACCTGGAAAAGAAAAATTATAGAAAGTAATTATAAAAAAATTAAAGAAAATATTAAAAAATTATCGATATTTAGATTTTTGTAACAAACAATTATCGATAACAATCGATAACTTGATATTTGTAACGAAAACTTATTGATAACAATTTCTTGTACAGAAAAAATATCGATAACAAAATTTCGTTGAAGAAAATTTATCGATAACAAATTTTCTTTAAAGAAAATTGATCAATAACAAATTTTCTTTGAAGATAATTTATCGATAACACAGTTTTGATAGAGAAAACTTATCGATAAAACGACTTTTATAAAGAAAACTTATCGATAACACATTTTTTATAAAGATCACATATCGATAACAAATTTTATAGAAAGATAATTTATCGATAACATGTTTCCTATATCTAAAAACTATCGATAACAAGTTTTCTACAAAGAAAATCAATCGATTTGAAAAATTTTATATCAGAAATATTATCGATAACAAGTTTTCTATGAAGAAAAGCAATTGATTAGCAGATTTTTACAAAGAAAATTGATCGATAACACGGTTTTTATGAAGAAAACTAATCAATAACAAGTTTTCTACAATGAAAACGTGTCGATAAGAAGTTTCCTACAAAGGAAAATTATCGATAACTAATTTTTTAAAAGGAAATCTACTCAACAATAAGTTTTTTATAGTGAAAACTTATCGATAACAAGTTATCTATAAAGAAAACACATCGATAATAAGTTTTCGAAAAAGAAATCTTATCGATAATAGATTTACTTAAAAGCAAACATATCGGTTTCTATATCGAAAAACAATCGATAAATAGTTTAATTGAAAGATAAATTATCGATAGTAGGATTTCTTTCAAAAAAAAACTTAACGATAACAACTTTTATAGAAAGATAATTTATAGATAACAAGTTTTCTGTAACAAAAATGTATCGATAGCACACTTATAAAATCAATATTTGGTTTTCTATAATGAAAATTAATCGATGATAAAAATTCTATAAAGAAAACTTATCGATAACAAGATTTCTATAGAGAAAAATGACCGATAACTAGTTTTACAGAATGATAATTTATCGATAAAAATTTTTCCATAAAGAAAACCTATCGATAGTAGGTTTTCTAAAAAAAAATTATCGATAACAATTTTCTAGCAAGAAAAACTTTCAATAACTAGGTTTCTATAAAGAAAACTTATCGATAACAAAATTTCCATAAAGAAAACCTGTCGATAACAAAATTTCTTTTAAGAAAACCTATCGATAACAAGTTTTCTACAAAAAAATGTATCGATAACAAGTTTTCCATAAAGGAAATGTATCGATAACAGACATTCTATAAAGAAAATTTATCGATAACACGGTTTCTATGATGACAACTTATCGATAACAAGTTTTCTCTTAAGGAAAACTAATCGATAACAAGTTCTATACAAATGAAACCTATATCAGTGCAGAAAACTTGCCGATAACACGATTTCTATAAAGAAAACATATCGATAACACAATTTCTAGGAAGAAAACTTATCGATAACAAGTTTTCTATAAAGAAAATTTGCCTATAGCAAGTTTTCCATAAAGAAAATGTATCGATAACAGACATTCTATAAAGAAAATTTATCTATAACATGGTTTCTATGAAGACAACTTATCGATAACAAGTTTTCTCTTAAGGAAAACTAATCTACAACAAGTTCTATCTATAACAAATTGTCTGTGCAGAAAATGTATCGATAACAAGTTATCCATTAAGAAAGCTTACCGATAACACGATTTCTATAAAGAAAACATATCGATAACACAATTTCTAGGAAGAAAACTTATCGATAAAAAGTTTTCTATAAAGAAAATTTATCGATAACAAATATTCTATAAAGAAAATGTATCGATAACAAATATTCTGTGCAGAAAACTTATCGATAACAAGTTTTCTATAAAGAAATCCAATCGATAACAAAATCTCCATAAAAAAATACTTATCGATTACAAATTTTCTATGCAGAAAACTTATCGATAATAAGTTATACCTAAAGAAAAATTATCGATAACTCAGTTTATATAGAGAAAACTTATCGATAACTCGGTTTCTGTAAAGAAAACTTATCGATAACTCGGTTTCTGTAAAGAAAACTTATCGATAATAAAATTTCGATAAAGAAAACTTATCGATAACTCGATTTCTATAAAAAAACTTATCGATAACAGGTTATCCATAAAGAAAACTTATCGATAATAAAATTTCGATAAAGAAAACTTATCGATAACTCGATTTCTATAAAGAAAACATATCGATAACTCCATTTCTATAAAGAAAACTTATCGATAACTTGATTTCTATAAAGAAAATTTATCGATAACAAGTTATCCATAAAGAAAACTTATCGATAACATGTTTTTTTATTACGGAATTTCATCGATATCTAGTTTTCTACGAAGAAACCCTATCGATAACTAGTTTTCGGTGAAGCAAACTTATCGATAACAAAGTCTAAATAGCGATATCTCTTCACATTCCCCTCTTACCTTTATTGCCCCCTTGGACATTAAGAAGAACCAATAGATCTGCGGCAAAAACAACACCAATATCCCGAAGATACAGCCAATGGGTAGATTGGACAGGGCATGCCAGAAGGTCGCATTGATTTCGACACTGTAACGCCACATGACATAGGGCCACATCAGGACGCGGCACACAAAGAAGGAGAACAACATCACCAGACCGTTGATGATGTAGGAACGGCTGTCCTTTAGGCCCAAGGTGCTGAGAATGCTGCGCAACGAGACGAACGGGGTGGAGAACTCCATCATGAACATGTAGCTGTAGATGCAGTGGCCGCCACCGCGAATGTACTGCAGGAAGAAAAGGAAGTTGATTAGTTTCTCTTGGGGAGAGAGGGAGAATCTTCTACTACTTACTGTCACCACCAAGAAACCCACAGTGCCCACAAAAATGTGATGGATCATCATAACCGGATGCGTAATCAGATACTTGAAGAAACCCCATTTTCCGTTCTCGGGAATCTGCACTGTCTCTCCATCATAATCGTAGATTTCATCCTCATGATGGCGTATGTGTTGCATATCATCACCATTCGTGTCCGCCGACGACTCATCCAAGGCCACCAAACGCTGACCATTTGCCGCAAAGGTCCGAGCAATGTGTTTATCATAGAGCCCGCCATTCGATTGGCCATTGGCCAAAGGCTTTGGGGTGAATGATGCCGATGAGGTCATTTTCATCAGCTTCAACTTATCGGCTATCTTCTGGGTATGCACTTTATACATGGACCATATATCGTACATGAAATAGGCGGTGCCGAACCATCCATAGCCCTCCATCAGGCAATGCGAGGCATAGACGAATGTTTTGCTGCATGTCGATTTGCAGACAATCAAACCGACCAGGAATGAAAAGGTTGCTTGAATGGCGGAGACAATTCTGCAAGGGAGAAAGAAAGACACAAGAGAAGAGAGAGGGAGAGAGCATTAGTCACTGAGAGTTTATTAAAAGGAATGGAGAGAAAAAAAAATAAAAAAATAAATAAATAAAAATATATGACCTCTTTGAAATCATATTCTTATAAATATGACGCCTCTTATCCTGGCAAGGATCTTCGCCAAAAGTCCTCCTTTTCTTTTCCAAATCATTTAATTCGGCATTGACCCCCTCATTTGGCAAAATGCCCGCAAAAAAAAAACCTAACCAAAACAATGCCAAAATAATGGCATTTCATAAGGAGGCACGCATTATTCATTGCTCCTAAAAGTATGCTTTAAATTTTGTTGCGTGTGTGTCAGTGGTTTATGATGTGACAGATATTGCCACATTATGGAAATCAGGAACAAACAAGCAAACGCAAAAACTTGGCATCACACACCAAGGAGAGACGGAATGACATTTTTTGGCAGTGATTTTTACTGGAAATTTTTATCGATAACAAAAAAAGAATAATAATCGGCAATTTTTCTAAAGAGAAAAAACAACCATTATCGATAACTCTTCTATACGGAAAATTTTTCAATTAAAACCGTATTATCAGTAACATTTTTGCAGAAATTTTTTTTAAAAAATTTTCGTTAGAAAATATTGTTATAGAATATTTTTATTTGTAAAAAAATAATGTTATCGATAACAATTTTCAACAAAAATCATGTTATCGATCACATTTCCATGTAAGAAATCTATTATCGATAACATTTCTATAGACAATAATTGCTATCGATCAATTTTTTTTGCCAAAACAAATGTTATCGATAACATGACTTTTTTAAAAGTTTGTTATCGATCATGTTTCTCTGCAATAAGCCTATTATTGAAAACATTTCTCTGTAAAAAACTTGTTATCGAAAAATTGTATTATCAAAAAAGTTTTTATCGAGAAAATTTATCGATTAAAATTTTCTTATCGATAAAATCTGTCTGTAAAAATTATGTTATCTACAACATTTTTATAAAAAAGAAAAACGATTATCCATATTTTTCTTTGAAATAAGTCTATTATCGATAACTGTGTTATCGATTAATAACTTCTTATCGATACAATTTCTCTGCTAAAATCATAGAATCGACAAAATTTTTACAGTTTTATCGAAGAAATTTTATTTGCAAAAAAATAAAGTTGTTATCGATAACATATTTCGATTGAAACCTTGTTATCGATAGCATTTCTTGAGGAAAATCATGTTATCGAAAATTTGTATTTGAAAAAACGGTTATCGATAACAATTTTCAACGAAAATCGATAACATTGATTGATTAAACCTGTTTATCGATAACATTTCTCGTCGAAAATCATAATTTTTCGATAGAAACCAGTAAGGAAAGTAGTAAAGTCGGACGGGGCCGACTATATGATACCCTTCACCACTTTGAGCATATTCAACAGATGAAATAGAAGCTATATCTAAATCTGAACCGATTTCAACGATTTCAGGAAACTTAACACACATCATTCCAGACCTCATCCATAACGCAGTGCCAAATTTCGTGCAAATCGAAAGATATATAGGGACTTTGGTAGACCATTTACATTAAATCGGACGAAAATATATATGGGAGCTATTTCTAAATCTGAACCGATTTTCAGGAAACTTAACACACACCATTCTATAACTAATTCATTACGCTGTGCCAAATTTCGTGGAAATCGAAAGATATATAGGTACTTTGGTGCCACGTTTACCTTAAATCGGACGAAAATATATATGGGAGCTATATCTAAATCTGAACATTTTCACGAAACTCAGCACACACCATTATGGACCTAATTCAGTACACTATGCCAAATTTCGTGCAAATCGAATGATATATAGGTACTTTGGTGCCTATATCGGGCGAAAATATATATGGGAGCTATATCTAAATCTGACCCGATTTTCACGAAACTCAGCACACACCATTATGGACCTAATTCAGTACACTATGCCAAATTTCGTGCAAATCGAATGATATATAGGTACTTTGGTGCCTATATCGGGCGAAAATATATATGGGAGCTATATCTAAATCTGACCCGATTTTCACGAAACTCAGCACACATCATTTTGGACCTCATTCAGTACGCTATGCCAAATTTCGTGCAAATCGAATGATATATAGGTACTTTGGTGCCTATATCGGGTGAAAATATATATGGGAGCTATATCTAAATCTGAACCGATTTTTCCCAATTTCAATAGGGTTCGTCCTTGGGCCAAATAAGTGACCTATGCCAAATTTCATCCAAATCGGATCATAAATGCGACCTGTACTTTGTTCACAAAAATACATGGACGGACAGACGGACAGACGGACATTTTCCAAAAACGGACATGCGTAAATCGACTCAGAAAGTGATTCTATGCATATTCTCAAAAGGAACCATGTGCCTATCTCGTTTCCTTTTGCCTGTTACAAACATATGCACAAAGACATAATACCCTGTACCACAGTGTGGTGAAGGGTATAAAAAAACTTGTAAATGACGATTTTTTTAAAAAGTTTGTTATCGATAAAATATTCCGATTAAAAACATGTTATCGATAACATTTTTGGATTAAAATTATGTTATCGATAAATTTTCCATAGAAAAAATTAGTTATTGATAATTTTTATTAGCAAAAACATTGTTATCGATAAAATTTTTAGGCGAAAATCATGTTATCGATAACATTTCTGAATTATAATCATGTTATCAATAATTTTTCTTTAGAAAAAACTTTTTATCGGCATATTTTATTTGCAAAAAATTGTTATCGATAAAATTGGTATCAATAATAGTTTTGATTAAAACCGTGTTATCGATAAACATTTTTTGAGGAAAATCATGTTATCCAACATTTTTTGATAGAAAAAAAGCTTTTTATCGATAATTTTTATTTCCATACCACTTGTTATCGATAAAATTTCTGTATTAAAATTATGTATTCCAAAACTTTTCCATAGAAAAATTGTTATCGGCAAATTGTTATTTACCAAAAAATTGTTATCGATAAAATTGTTCGTTTAAAACCATGTTATCGATAACGTTTCTTGAGGAAAAACATTTTTCGATAGAAAAACCCTTTTTATTGAAAACTTTTTATCGATAACATTTCGGAATTACAGTTATGTTATCGATAATATTTCTGAATCAAAATTATGTTATCGATAATATTTCTGAATCAAAATTATGTTATCGATAATATTTCTGAATCAAAATTATGTTATCGATAACATTTCGGAATTAAAATTATTTATCGATAATTTTTCGTTAAAAAAATTGTTATTGGTAATTTTTATTTGTAAGAAAATTGTTATCGATAACATTGTTCGTTTAAAACCATCTTATCGATAACGTTTCTTGAGGAAAATTATGTTATCGAAAAATGTTCTATAGAAAAAACATATTATCGAAATTTTTTTATTTGCAAGCAGTTTGTTATCGATAACATTTCTCAATGAAAATCATGATATCGATAACATTTCTGAATTAAAATTAAGTTATCGATAAGAAAAAAATTGTCATCGAAGAAAAATTTCTGTAAAAAGTTTGTTATCGATAACAGTTCTCAATGAAAATCGTGTTATCGGTAAGATTTCTGAATTAGAATTATGTTATCGATAATTTTTCCATAATTTTATTTGCCAAACATTTTTTATCCGCAATTTTTATTTTCAAAAAATTTGTTGTCGATAACTTTTTTATAAAAATTATTTTATCGATAACATTTCTCTTTACAAATAAAAAAATTGAAGTTTTTTATTTTAAAATTAGTTGGCAATTCGTTTTGTTTGTCAAAAAAATTTAAAAAAAATCTTCTTAAAATTTTTTCTAAAAAAATATTTTTTCAAAATTCTCTGTAAAAAAAAAATTGGAAAAAAATCCTTCCGGAAATTTCTCAATGCGCCCGCCCTCTACCCACAACTATAAACGTTTTGCTGACAAATTCAAAAACACCTCCTGTTATACCCAGCTGACCTCCCGAATTTTATCCGCCGCTAGGGGTGGAGAATATTATGGCCCTCCCGAGGGGGTCTATGCCGCTCCATGGCAGTACCAACCACGAGATAAATGCCGGTGTAGCAACAAAAAGCTATGCGATTCCATACATCAAGATTTATATTTGGCTACGACCAAGTCGAGTTGTCTGATTGAGGATCGCGCGACGGAATGGTATCGCCAGCAGAAGCAGATGACGCAACTGAAAAGGTCTCTCAGTGCGATGACACCCCAGCAGTTGAGGGAATTTCAGTGTCGTTATTATGGCAGCTTTCAATTTCAATCACCACCCGAAAATTGTTTGGATATGAAGGTTCCACTGCGGAAGGCGGCATCGTCTAAAAGGGAAGCTTATCGTCCCGCCGAGGGGGTTAAACATATTTCCGAGGAATTTTTGGAACTTCTAAGGCAGCATGATGAACGACAGAGGGAGAGGAATGGGCTGTATTGTTTGCCGGAGGAATATAGGAGGAGGTTGAAGGTGGTGCGGGATGGTGAAAAGAAGAAGGAGCATGTTCCGACGACCGGTAAGAATGCAGGGCCTTGTGCTGGTACCTCTGGGGAATTGGCGATGAAATCGGAAACGGATACCCATATGGATCGCCATAAAATTCAAAAAGGCTTCTGGAAAAAGTGGTGCTTCTCCAGCCGCGATCAAACCTATCCGTCGGAGGATAAGTCATATCGATGTTATCGGGATTTGCCGAGAAAATTATTACATTACTCAAGAAGTCAACCAAGAATTAAGCAGCATGAGCAGTGTCCTGCGGAGCGAGGACAAACTGATATTGATCCCTCCGAAGTCCTCGAAGTAGAGGAACCAAAAGTTTCCTCCACTTCCATTGCTATGCCAGTAAAGGCCCATGGCTTTTCGGGAGAGAAAGAAGCCTCGGAAGCAATGGCAACCAAAAACCTTCCTCATTACCTTCCTGAAGGCAGCCCGGATCTCAGGCCCCGATTGCATTCCCAAGGAAGTCTG